GACTTTTGAGACAATGGGAACTCCAAGTGCATTTCGTGGAGCTCAGGGTGCTTGGCTAGATAGAGGGCTTACCTTCTGACCCACAATGGGGAGACCTATTAGCATGGAGGTTCCCACACTAGGCAAAACCACTTCTTCCCCCTTCCTCATTCCCAAGTTCAGTCTTGCATGGGAGATCCTGTCAATGCGCTCCCTCTCGAGAAACATCCAGAGATGTGGCTCTTAGGCCTAGCCCTGTTTTCCATAGTGAAATTGTTAAGGCAGACCGCAGAAGAATCGAGGTGTTTGAGCTGTGGTGTTGGCGAAGAAGACTGGCTGCCAGAAAACAAACAGATCTGTTTTGGAAGAAGTACAGCCAGAATGCTCCTTCGAAGTGAGTGTGGGGAGACTTCCTCTCCTGTATTTTAGAGCTTGTTGTCAGGAGAGACCAGTCCCTGCACAAGGATGTCACTCTTGGTCAAAGAGAAGGTGGATAAAGAAGAGGAAGACCCGTGATGGGCTAGACTGACCCAGTAGTTTGCAGCAATGGGCTCAAACATTACCTTCCCAAGGAGGGCCTGGGACCTGGAAGCGTTTTCTTGTGCTGTATGTCGGTGTGCTATGAGTCTAAACCGACTCAATGGCACTTAATGACCAGAGTGAATGTTGAAGGGCCCACGGTGACTCTTAACCTTGTTTAATGCACAGATGCCTCAGGACAGAGAAGGAACTGTATGGCTGTCTTCATGGGATAGCAGTGGCAAGTAAGGTCTGGTGTTGACAGCTCTGAGGTGTGTCCTGGCTTGGCCCTTGCCAGATAGCAGACGTTCTCTCAGAAGGAATGTCCATGGCTTAGTTTTCTCAGTTACCAGAGGAGTGGCGAGTACCCTATTCCTTAGGGTTGTAAGAGTTACACTGGATAACACCTGCAAAGTGTCTGCCTTTATTATTAACACTGCTTATTAGAAAAGTTCCTCCATTTCAGTTCTCGGATTTCTTTAAATGCTCTAGTCTTTTGTTCTTTCTAGCGATCTCTACAATTTCTCATCCTGGGAGCTTCAAGGATGAAAATTGTGATGATTATCAAGGGTAGGTCAGCATATACATTTCATGGTTTTCATCACAATAGTGTCAGAATATGTATTTGTCTCGTTTAGTATTTTGAAAGGTGATCTGGATATGTAGTAAATCGCCCTTCATCTCAATTTTCTAATGTTAAGAAATCATTTGTTTCATAGAAATTACTAAGGACTCAAGGGCTATTAAGTATTAATTTTGGAAGAGAAAATGAATAAAAATAGTGCAGGTTCATAAAATATTATTTTGAGAAGAGAAACTTATTCAGAAACTAGTGGTTCAAAACTTGGTTAGCTAATTTTTTTAAAACATAGGGCAGTACAATCAATTAACAAATTCCAGAGGAGTTAAAACAACACCACCACCAATTAAAAAACCAACTACGAAATGATTACTAGTTGTCTGGATAAAGCCTTATTTTAAAGGCGTTTAAGTATAAAATTGTGGGAAAACTGTATGAATTCTTTAAATAACCCACAGAAATGGAGAATTTTGAAATGTTAAAAAAGCATTAACTAAAAAGTAAATGGAAAATGAGAAGCTCAGAGAATTATTGGTAAAATAGATGACTTTTAATTATAAAGACTATCTCAAAAGACATGCAAGAGATCTAAGAAAGCATACAAAAGAAGAAACAAAGTAATCAATAACATGGAAATGCATCAAGCCTCTCTGTAGTTAAAAAAAAAAGAAAGAAAAGAAATTACCTAACTAGATCAATTTTAAAAGTCACTATTAAAGTTGATGGAAGGGTGGTGATGTTTTGTGATACAGTATTTGCAACAGTTTATATTCCTGCCAGCAACTGCACCAGCCTTTGGGAAAGGTGACTGTCCCTGTGCACCAAGGGTCCCGAATTTCCTTTAGTCTCAGTTTTGGAAGTATGTGTTGCAATGTGCTATAACCTCTGTATGCAGGTCAGTTTCTCAGGAAGCTGTCTGGGGTCCCTACCCCTCTCACAAGGACACCCTCAAACACACTGCCGTCAAGGGAATTCCAACTCATCGAGACCCTAGAGAGGGATTCTGACACTGTCCATCTTTAGCAAGCAGATAGCCTCTTCTTCCTTCCAGCTGGTGGTTTTGAACCATTGACCTTGCAGTTAGCAGCCCAAGGTATGCCTGGCACAGTCCAGACCGTTACTCCAACAGGAGAAAGATGGGGACCTCCGTAAAGATTACAGCAGAAGGAGCCCACCCTTTTGGGTAATTCCACTCTTGACACTGGGTTGCTAAGAGTTGAAATCAATTCGACAGTTCCCAACAACAAGGGGCGGAAATACATCTGGATTTATTCTCACAACCGGCTCGGCTTGGCCAACAAGAGGCTCAACAACTCGGTGCTGCTGCTCCAGCTCTTAGAACACCGTGTTTGGAGAGATTACAAGTGAGGACACGGGTGCCTTTAAATGTGGCGTTTCCAGTAGGTT